CCAAGAACCCTACCCAAATCTTGAAAATCTGTCCCACAATCGGCGCCATATGTTCAAAATCTACGCACATGGAGGGACCACCACATAAAGGTAACCTGAAGCAAATTTTTATATATCTTTTGCTGTTTTCGCATGTGATATCAATCGTAAATTTATATTTTTTGTGTTGGATTTATGTGATGGTTTTCTGCTTCATGAATATATGCCACAAGTATATTAATATTTTCTTCTTTTTTGACCGCATGGATGCTTGATTCTTAAACTTTATTCATACTTTGTGTTGCAAGTTTTCCACCTTCTTCTCTGACTTCGTCACCTTTTTAATGTAGATTATGTTGCAGTCCCAGAATTCGATGATTTATGGAATGATGGATACGCTAGAGGTGGGGCTGAATATTCGTCGAGCGAGGACCCAGACTTCACTGATTTAGGGAACGAGTTAGACTCCGAAAGGGATGATAATTTGTATAAAATAATGTAACGGATGGGATTGAGGTTGGTTCGAATGTGGGTGAACCGAAGGATGTGAATGAGCATGATGTTCAGGTCGATGTTGAGATTGCTGATTTGGAGTACCCTTCTTCTGAGGAGCTTGTGTCTGATTGTTCGTCAGATGATGAAGTTGTGTATAGATTTCCACATTTTTGGGCAGAGGCTGACATGAGCAATCCACAATTCGTCGTTGGTAAGCTCTTTAGAGATGTTGTAGAGTTCCGAAAGGCCGTAAGAACATATGGAGCTTTAAATGGGTACAATGTCAAATTTAAGGCCAATGACGAGAGACGAGTACAGGGAATTTGCAAACCAGGTTGTAGTTGGTAGATATGGGCATCGAGCGTGGGACTAACAGGAAATTTCCAAGTGAAGTTGTATACTTTGAATCACACATGCAGCCGAGACCAGTATAATAGACATTGTAATTATGTCTTCCTGACTAACCGATTTATTGAGCAGTTTAAGGCAGAACCAAAATGGAAGACGAAGAGTATACTTGCGACAGTGAAGGCCGATTTGAAGACTGATATTACTCGTAACGCGGCATGGAAAATGAGACGGTATGCAAAGGAATTGTTGCATGGAACAATTGATGAGCAATTTGGTAAGTTGTGGTGTTATGCTGCGGAGGTTTTAAGGACTAACCCGGGTTCAACCGTCATCATTGCCAACCACAATCAAGTTTTTCAGGGCATCTATGTTTGTTTTGAAGCATGTAAGAAGGGTTTTGTCAATAGTTGTAGAAAGGTTATCGAAGTGGATGGTTGCCATTTGCGTGGATGTTTTAGTGGAATACTGTTGACCGCTGTTGGCCATGATGCAAATGATTGCATATATCCCATCGCATATGCCGTAGTTTAGAAAGAGAACACTTTAGCTTGGTGGTGGTTTATGAGACATTTGGAAAGTGACGTTCATATTGGTGACGGAAGAGGCTGGACTTTGATGACAGATCGAGAAGGGACTTCAAAATGTTGTCATAGAATTGTTTTCGCCTGCCGAGCATAGGTTTTGCGTACGCCACATGTACTCTAACTTTTTCAGTGCTGGCTTCAAAGGGAAAACATTGAAGGACTATCTTTGGCGTGCTGCAAAGTCTATTACCATTTCAGAATACAAACACTGGATGCAACAAATACAAAGTGTGAGCGAGGATGCTTTCAAGTGGTTGAATGGAGCAAATTACACTTTGAAGTGCATTCAAAGTGTGACATCTTGTTGAACAATGGCTGTGAGGTTTTCAACAAGACTCTTTTAGAAGATCAAGAGAAAATGATTTTGGACATGCTGACATCCATACAGTTAACTTTCATGAAGCGAATTCAGATAAGGCGAGATAAAATGAGTTGTTATGAAGGTCGGCTTTGCCCTAAGATCAGTAGAGCTGAGAGATAAAGAGAGTCTATAGTACATTTTTAGGTGGTCCTAAGTGGCAGGTGGATTGTAGTTACGGTACATACGTGGTTGATCTTGAGGAAAGAAGTTGTGCTTATAGACGTTAGGAATTGATGGGGATACCTTGTCTACAAGCAGCTTTGAATTGTACGATTTGTGATTAATGTTTTCCATTTATTGTTGTAGGACATGTTTGATGCTCTGCTGGCAGAAGTTGAATCCCCACCAACTAGGGAAGTACTTGCAAGCGTAAGACGAACATATTGATTATTTTTCCATTTAGTTGCTTGCTTACATTATTTTTCTATTTAATATTATGATTTTGGCGTTCATATGCTTTGCTGCATTCTTGAATAGGGAAAATTGGCTACAAGTAGATGCAACCATCGCTCGACGAGCCAAACACCTGTTACTGGCGATCCAAATATACTACCAACTGTTGGAAATGAAAGATAGAGGGACCGACGGAAACCTTGGAGGAAATGGTTGATATGCTAAAAGAAATAGACGTCGATGAGCCCTCACAATTACGGGCTGCTAGAGTTTATGCACGGCGATGTTCAAACACGATTTTAGCTACTTCTCGCAATTCATAGAATTGTAGGCAGCCTCGAACCAAAGACATTTACTTTAAACATCTTTTGTAGTTTTTCTGCCAATAAAGGCAACTATGGTAACCACTTCAATTTTTTGTGCCAATGTGGGTAGTTATGGATTAAACAATTTTAGCGAAATGTGTATGCAGTTCGATGCTTATTGACTACAGTTTTTGAATTTTTGTTGAAGTGAACATTTGTGCTGTGGAAATTATCCAAGTATTACCTTATCGAATGTGTTAACTTTGTTGCTATACTAGTGTATTTGATTTATATCAATCAGAATCCTTTAGTTATATCATTTGTGAGCAATTCAAACTTTATTAGGTACTAAACATTTGTCAAAAGAACAACCCATCGAGTGCAACAAACTATAATTACCTGGTACAAAACTTCAACTTCAACATTGCACCAACACTGCATTACTTTTTCAACAGAACTTCAACATTGCACCAAACCGCATTACAATTCAACATTACACCAAACTTCATTACACCACCAAATTGCCTACTATTCACGTCAACTCCATTCCCCTACATATTGCATGTTATATGTCACCAACAAACATGATTAGAACAACAAACTAATTAGAAGAAGTACAAGGATAGCCCAGAATGCAGCCTTGTACATTTTAAGAATTCTACAATTTTTTTTGTTCTTTGAACATAGCAGCCCATTTATGACAAGCTTGGGATGATATAAACGTGAAAAAAGGGCAACTTCATACTTGAATTGACGTTCAAGCAAATCTTTAGTCTCTTCTTTCTGAGTTGGAATTCTCAGCATTTTTACAGCAACTGCTATTTACTTATAAATCCCTCTATAAATCCTACTATGTACTCCATATGCAAATTTATTGCCTGCAAGTAATTGAGAAAAATCAGCAGACCAAAAATTGCTCATGTTCCTCAGATTTTTCCCATGTTTTGAAATGCAACTGCTTTCATTCGACACTTCGACTACAAATTGTTTGAGGCACTACTATTCAGCTAGATGGGAGTAGAAAAATGTGAATTTTTGGGGTATTATTTGGGGATAGATCACCAATATTTGGGTAGGGTTCTTGGGGAGATAGCAAAAGAATTGATTTGGGGGAAATGTGTTCAAAGTGAATGGAAATGAGAGATTGGTATGATGTCGTGCTTTTTGTTTCTCTCACCCTTTTTTCCCCTTAAAATCGTGAATTTGAAAGTTGAAGCAAATAATCTCCATGAGAATCACAGTTTCATAAAATCCCTTTTTTTTTTTATTTAAGGTTTAAAATAATTTTTAATTGTGAGTAGGATAAACAGGTGACGTGGCACGCCGTTAGTCGCCACGCGAGATTGTCGTCCACCACCTCAGTGAAAAAATTAATAGATTTTGGGAAGTGATGGATGGAGTGCAAACAGGACAACTTTAGTGAGCATTTTAAAACATTTTATAGTTTGGTGAGTAGTTCGCGACGAATGTATAAGTTCAATGATTTTTCAAACATTTCACTCCTTTTCTTTTCTATTGTTGTTATTATTATTATTGTTTTTTTTTCCATTTTAATTTGGAAATAACAAATTTATCATTTTACCTTTTTTAGATTTGATCAAAATAAATTTTCTTGGTCAACTAATGGTTAAATGGATGGAATTTATCCATTTGTTCTTGTGATTACGGATGGCAACAGGGTGGTCGCTGGCGTTTTATATTTATTTTTTAGTTGTTGATAATTCATTTTAATGATCATATTCATTCAAGTGAAACAATAATATATTTATTAAATTTTTTAATTAATAATAATTAGTTTTTAAAGTTATATTATTCCAATATATTTGATAAACAAATGTTTTATTGTTTATTTTATTCTTTAAATAATCTTAGCTGTCATATTCTATTAAAATTAATGAAATTTCATGGTTTGTTTCTATTTAGGGTCTGTTTGAGCTCCATTATTTCCTAATAATGTATTTTAGAATAGTATATTGATGAAGAATATGTGGTTAAAAAATAAGAATTTTTTTTGGATTTATGTGTAATATTATTTTATTAAAGAATATCTAATTGAAAAGAAGAGAGAAAAATGTATTTTAAAAGGAATAGAAATCAAATAAGGGCTTAAAATATTGAATTTTTAATATATATAAACGGGGCCGTGTCGACCTAGCGCCACGAGTATAGTGAGTCCAAATCTAATTGTAATTTCCTTATTTATTATAACTATATAAGCTTCTAAGTAGCATCTGGTGCAACTGTAGTTGATCGGTTCGAGCTCGATTCATTCGAGTGGGCCACTGATCCGATTATTCGATTAAGCGGATAATGGGGTGGGTCTTCGCAAGTATCGGGTTTGTGTGTATTTTTGCCATGCCTACTTGTGATGCAACAAAATTAAAAGTTCGTGACTGTAAGTGATTCAATACTGAAGATTGAAGTTAAGTCTGCAAAAAATAAAAACGTTTGGGACTGCTTATGCAATTATTCCAAGAAAAACGCTAACATGGTCACATTCATTATTTCGTATCTCATATAAGAAAGGAATGAATGTAGACAAAATTATTAGGCAAGTGACCGAGATATTTGTCCTTTTATTGACTCCATCCGTCTATGACGTATGCTGAGTCGTCGGTTGTGTCAAACTCTCGCTCTTCTTTCTCTCTTCTGTGTTATCTCTCCTTGGATTCGATTTTCTCTTTTTGCTTTAAGAATAAGAGTTAGAATCCCGACAACATAATTTAATTTTTAGACAAAGAAGCAAAAGGGATTATGAATCGTCTTCTTCAATCCACTCTCAGGAATGCCACCCAGGTTTTTCTCATGTTTTTGTTCATATATTTCTTGTGTATGTATAGATGTATCTTTATTTATTATTCTGTAGTGGGTTCGTTTGTTGCGTGTTTGTAAATCAGCATTTGCTGTTCCTTTTTATTCTTGATGTTCATGTGTAGAAGTCTGTAGTTTTATTTTTGTTGGTTAATAAAAATAAAATGTTTCAATGATTAATGTTGTTCAAATGGGTGGGTATTTTTTTTTTCCATTTTTTTTTTTTTACCGAGAATATACTTTGGATGTGTTTTAATGTGAATGATGTCCGTCTTTTTTTGGCCTTTTATGCTTTTTATTTGTTGAATCAAATGGTGTCCTGAATTCACGTTAAAACTGTGATTGTATTGGAGGGCTCTAAAATGATAAGTAAATTTGATGGTGTTATGACTCAAAAACTTGGCATCGTTGGAATGAGGTCTTCTGATGATCATTATCAATGGAAAAGGGCGGAGAGGAGCCCTCCGGGGGGACATTGAAGCTAGTGACAAGATTCAGAAAATTGTATGACAACAAAAGGATAATGTAAGAACCCAAAGGAAAAAATTTCTGTTAGGATGTCACAATCCGTACTGGATAAAAGGGAGAGATTTTTGCGGAGGTAGTTGTCCTTTACGTACTAATTACCGGTGAATGTGTGGTACATTGACGCTTGAGTATAACATTCATATATGTTTGATTCTTACTATTCTCGGTTTAAAGCCTGGAAATTGACATCACTATTAGTATGTGAGTCCGGTTCAACATCGGGGGTACTGGGCATGATCTGATATTGAGGTGTTATCATACATCTAGAGAAAAATTTATCCATGTGGTTTTTTGTCTCAAAATAGCTTTTTCGACAAGCTAGATAAACACGTAAGCTAAACTTCGGATTTTGCATATTGCAACCGGATCACTTGAGGGTCTCCTTATAAGCACTTTGAGTCTCCAAGAGATTTTTCCTTCCAAAACCTAAAACATAAGCCCGTCATAATCAGTTAAAAGTGTCTTATTCGCTATTCACAAGGTTTCTACTTGATTCTGAGGACCTTGAGATCCAAGGCAGATGACTTGTTAATGTTCTCCATATAAACTTTATTGTTTATTTTGGATTATATAAAAGTAATAATTCATCTTTAATTTCTATAAACATTGATATTTGGTTGGTTGTCAATGAAATTATTTATCTTTCAGAAATAAAATGGCTAACCTTCTCGAAGGATGCAAGCACTTTTGAGTTTAATGCATCAAAGTATGTATCTGGATTGTTCTCAATTTCATGGCCCAAAGGTGAAAGACTGAAAAGAAATTATGTATTACTCATTGCATTCCAAAATAAATGCTTCTCTGCTTGGTTGATGTAGAATCTTTGAGACAGTTTAGCCCTTGATTTATATTATTTTGATACTTGCACTCACTTTTCTGAAACAGTTTTTTGAATTGTTAATTAATTATTCAATGAACTGAGACACCGAAACAAGTTACTTTAAGTCCATGTATTTATCTGCATTGTTGAAATTGTATCTCAATCTGGGATTAAATGTTCTACTTCCATTTGTAATAGGCAACCTTCGTAAAGGAAGTTTCATCTAGAAGAAGTTTGCAGAATCTTCAGGCTCCAATATTATTCAAATGGAATAGTACGGAGGCATCGGCTCAGAAAGATGTTTCATCTACTGATAATAAAGGGTAAAATTCATATTATTTCGACTTCCATTTTCTTTTCCAATAATAATACCTGTATCCATATTCTGTACTTGAGTGTATACTAAGAGCAAATAATTCTTAATTTTTTATGTTTTCAGCTTCAAGGGCCATAATATGTTGGCGCCATTTACTGCTGGATGGCAGACGACGGACTTGAACCCTCTTGTAATTGAGAAGTCTGAGGTATGGCTTTTTTGGTAATGGTTTCCTTATTTAAGTTGCTCATTGGTATACTTTTCCTGTGATCGTTTTCTAACTCTTTTTTTTGTTCGTTATAGGGTTCATACGTCTATGACCATAATGGGAAAAAGTATCTTGATTCCCTTGCTGGGTTATGGTGCACTGCTTTAGGTATTTATCTTTCGTATGGTATCCCTGATTTTACTAGTTTTTCGGTTGATAATTTGATGTTTTAGATCTGTTCATTCTCTCCTTCTTCATCGTGAAATTTTCATTTTGGGGTTTAGCATTATCTGTGTTCATCATATTACAGTTTCATACTATACCAAATTCTCGAGTGTTTTTAATTTATTAGGGAAAAGGCCTTTTTTGTCAGTAAGAAGGATTAAATCTGTATCTAATGGATTTGCCATTTTATATGCATATGCATTTTACTGTGGAAATTGACAGCTTCGGCCATTTTTCAGATGTGATATAGTTATAGAGAAACAATAGGATATTTGAAGCAAAAGAGCAAGAACCTTCTACGCAAGGACTTTAAGGCCGTTCCTTTTTTGTTAATTATTCTTTGGTGGAAAAATTTATTGTATAATTGTATTAAAATTAATGATTTAACTTTATTTTATTTGGTGATTGAAGGATATGTTATTGATGCTTGATGGAAACGTGAATAGCAAATAAAAGGCTCTTGTTTGTAACACACGAGCGAGCGTTTGTTTGCATATTGCTCGAACGAACGTGAGAATTAAAATTTACTAAATAATGGGAAAAACTAAAATATCTTATCAATCAAGAAAAATGAATGTAATGTTTTCACAACCTTAACACTTATTTAAAGAACTAAATGTTAAAACAATTCCTAATCACATTGGGATCCTAATTCTGTAAATAAATCCAAATAAAACTAAAAGAAGTGCAAAAAGATGAAAATACCATTAAATTAACTAAAAACAGAAGAACGCTAAAATGGACCCCTAAAAGATGGAATTTGACCCTCAAAGTTTGACAGTATTGATCTAAGGCCATAATTGTCACCCGATAAAAATGTGCAAAATCGAAAATGTTTTCAAATTATACTTACGGACAAAAATTTGACTACCGAACTAAAAGTTATGCACATTTTCGTAGATCCTTCTTATTTCCCTTAAAATAAAAAATGAAGAAGATATACTTGAAACAAGATGAAGCACCAGGTCCAAGGTCCTAAATTAAGGGGGGGTAGATGAAATCTTATATACAAAATGTGTTTTGCCAAGTCCTGCTGTAATAATGCTCTTTTAACTAATTTTTGTATACTTGCAGGGGGGAATGAACCTCGTCTTATTGCTGCTGCAACAAAACAACTTAATATGTTGCCATTCTACCACTCGTTTTGGAACCGAACAACGAAGCCCTCTTTGGTATCACAATTTCAAGTTAAACTTGATGCTAACTTGTATAGAAATATTTCTCTGTCTTCATCATGGTTGCTTTCTGCATGCAGGATCTTGCAAAGGAGCTGTTGGAAGTTTTTACTGCAAATAAAATGGCTAAGGTCTTTTTTACAAACAGTGGATCAGAAGCTAATGATAGTCAGGTCTGAATATCTTTTTAAAATCATTTATCCATTGATTTTATTCTCTGCTCCTGTACAGAAAGAATGCATTACTCAATGTAAGCTTTTCAGCTAATTTCCTGCCAATGGCTGAGGTGGTCAGTTGACTCCCTTCCCCTTTTTGAATTATCGGATCATTCAATACATATAGAATACGAAAAGAAAATGCATTTCAATCTTGTTTTGAATAGAGCTACTCATTCGGAAGCCCAATTCTTTTAATAACGCAGTATGTTCCAGTTTATGATTTTGTTGTACTCATGTACCCTATAATGGAGAAAAGGTTGTCTAATTTGCTACAATTTTTGTTGTATTCAAGATTTTCACTAATTCTATACTTGATATATTATGTTACTAATTATTTTTCTACATCAAAGATATTAGATGCATTTTCATTACTGCAGTATGCTATATGGTACCATTGTTATGATAGTTTTTGTCATAACAGAAGTTTGATAGTTCTTGTAACATGAAAAGAAGCTAAAATAGAAGTAGAAAAGGTAAAAGACTCAATATGCATTTACGAGATTCTGAATAATTTTCTTTTTCTTGTAGGTTAAGCTGGTTTGGTATTACAATAATGCCCTTGGAAGGCCAAACAAGAAAAAATTTATTGCTCGAGCAAAATCGTAATAATTTTGAGCTAATGTTTTCTTATTTTTGGTATTAAAAAAAATAGCTTTACACTTAAGTTTTATTTGTATATTTTGGTAGATATCATGGTTCAACACTTATATCAGCCAGTCTTTCTGGGTGAGTACCCAACACTTTTCAGAGTCGCAACTAAAATTGTATGCAATGAATATAGTCAGTAATTCTGTAACTTGTCTTTAACAGTCTTCCAGCGCTACATCAGAAATTTGATCTGCCAGCTCCGTTCGTATTACATACTGACTGCCCACATTATTGGCGATATCATCTGCCAGGTTGTGATGCGCCCTTTTACAATTGGTGACATGATTTCTTCCATGATCTTATTAAAATTTTGAAACCAATTTATTAGGTGAAACGGAGGAAGAGTTCTCTAGCAGAATGGCCAAAAATTTGGAGGATCTTATCCTCAAAGAGGGACCCGAGACGGTAACTGAAATTTGACATCAAATTTTAAATTTCGTTCTGTGTTTGTCACTTTCTTTTGCAGAATAATAGAGGTTACAGTTGCTGATGCGTAGACTGATGTGTTATAGATTGCTGCTTTCATTGCTGAACCAGTTATGGGGGCTGGAGGAGTGATTCCTCCACCTGCAACTTACTTTGACAAGGTTAGTTCCGTTACTTTGTTAGTCGTCACAATGAAATTGAGTTGAAGAAGTCCTTGCGACCTATGTTACTTGGACTCAAGTGCTGTTGTCCAATGCGGGGTACAATATTCAGGAGTTGTATATATATTTTTTTCTTTCTAAAATCTAGATATGAGGGATCTAAAATTTAGATAAGGGTACGTGCTTACGAATTAAATTGTTTTTTAGAAATTTGTATAATGATAATTATAGATGCATTATTTATGTTATCTGAAGGAACGTGAGGGAGCTAATATTTGTGTTTGTAATTTCTGCTTGCTTATTATTGCTCTCAAAATAAGGAATTAGGACTTAATTTATAAGTCCTGCTCTTCATTCCACTAATAGAACACTTAAGTGAGTCTCCTTTGAAATACGTATACAGATTCAGGCTGTAGTGAAGAAGTACGATATTCTTTTCATTGCTGATGAGGTAATATGTGCATTTGGAAGGCTTGGATCGATGTTCGGGTGCGACAAGTACAACATCAAACCTGATCTTGTCTCCTTGGCAAAGGTAAAGATCAACAATTTTATGATAAAAACCATTGGATAGTTATGAATCGAACTTCAACTCTATTGCTCCAATCTCATATTCAGGCACTTTCTTCTGCCTATGTGCCAATCGGAGCTGTACTCGTGAGCCCTGAAATCAACGACGTCATTTATTCTCAAAGCAACAAACTTGGTTAGTGATAACATTTTAATTTAAACCTTCTAATTTTTTTTTTGTGATCTTTCCTATTTAAAAGGTTAATCTGTCCCTCTTACTCTATAGGTACTTTCTCCCATGGATTCACGTATTCTGGACACCCGGTATCATGTGCTGTTGCACTGGAAGCTCTCAAGATCTACAAGTATGTTTTTTTGAATATCTTGTGAAGCGAATAAAGAAAAATTTCCTCTTGGCAAGTAGTTTCCAGCTTTATAAGATGATCTAGCCAAGTATCTTAAACGAATATGTGATTAATGACATGAACTAATGCTTAAAAAAAAACGATCCCCTAAGGTTGAGAGGATGATCTTAGTCTATTTTTTTCTGCATGTTAGTATCAATGTGATATGTGAAATCCATGAGAAAATGGGGCCAAAATTATACACATCAAATCAACGGCCATTTGACTCGGGTGGATTTTTGTGGAAATGCATATGGGGGTCGTTCTTGATGATTGTACGTTTATTCAAAACATGCTTGGGGTATAAGCTCATATTTAGCAAAGTCCAAAAAAAAAATAAAAAAAAATAAAAAAAAATAAAAGTAACCCAAGTATGTTTTTTTGAATATCTTGTGAAGCGAATAAAGAAAAATTTCCTCTTGGCAAGTAGTTTCCAGCTTTATAAGATGATCTAGCCAAGTATCTTAAACGAATATGTGATTAATGACATGAACTAATGCTTAAAAAAAAACGATCCCCTAAGGTTGAGAGGATGATCTTAGACTATTTTTTTCTGCATGTTAGTATCAATGTGATATGTGAAATCCATGAGAAAATGGGGCCAAAATTATACACATCAAATCAACGGCCATTTGACTCGGGTGGATTTTTGTGGAAATGCATATGGGGGTCGTTCTTGATGATTGTACGTTTATTCAAAACATGCTTGGGGTATAAGCTCATATTTAGCAAAGTCCAAAAAAAAAAAATAAATAAATAAAAATAAAAAAAATTAAAGTAACTAACTCTTTTTAGTTGTTTGGCAAAATTTTAAGAAGGTTCACTTGTTTTCAGGGAGAGGAATATTGTTGAGAAAGTGAATAGCATAGCCCCAAAATTTCAAGTGTGAAGGCATTCTCCGACAGTCCCATCGTTGGGGAGGTAATATTAAGCAATGTTTAATTAATTACATAATTTTTTATTTACATATGGATTTCTTAATGAACCTTGTTTGTTTTGAAGATACGAGGAACCGGGTTGATCCTTGGGACAGAATTTGCCAATAACAAATCACCTGACGATCCGTTTCCTGCTGAATGGGGTGTGAATTATGTCTCTCTAGTGGAATCTCTTAATCAAAAATTACGATTTTTAGTAATTAATCTACTATTCATGCAGGAGTTGGTTCATATTTTGGAGCACAGTGCGAAAAAAATGGAATGTTAGTGCGTGTTGCTGGCGACAATATAATGATGTCTCCTCCATTTATAATGACTCCGGGAGAGGTTGACGAGGTAATTGACTCCCATCATACGAATAAATCCATGTTACTTTATACATTGATGACATTGTTGAGAATTTTATAGCTTCCTGTGTTATATGTTACTTATTGAAGGGTTGCTTTTCATGGATCGGTTTTTTAAGGTATTACGTGAGACTAACAAGTTAGCCAATGTATAGCATCGTTTACATTAAATTTATTCTGTCTTAATTAGTCGGTCATCGAACTTTTACTTTTCCATTTAGACAATGGCAGTTGAAGAATTTTTAGTACTCGTTTACATTAAATTTATTCTGTCTTAATTAGTCGGTTATCGAACTTTTACTTTTCCATTTAGACAATGGCAGTTGAAGAATTTTTAGTACGGTATGTAATGCTTAGTATGTATTGCCTTGTTGTTTTTGGAATAAATTCACCCTTGGAATTCAATATACTTACAAACACTAAGCATATGTCTGAGCCCCATTATCCCAATATTTATTTTTTCTCAAATTCATTTTCAATCACATTCTATCAATATGACAATTTGCACGTAAATCCAAAATTTTTTCCTTGCTTTTCTAACCATACATCTTCCAAAAAAATCACTTGTAAAACCCATTTTTTGTGGAAAATGGGGCTCAAAGGAGAGCTAAGATGTATGTTCGAGTTTAAGTGTTAGGTGAAAGTATTAAACGAAATAAGGGGAATTTTGCTGTTTTCAGCTGACAAGCATCTATGGAAAAGCACTGAAGGCTACTGAAGAGAGGGTCGAAGAACTCAAGTCTCAGAAGAAGTGATGGTCGAAAAGTCCTATCGATGGCTCCATGTAAGGACTAATAGCTGCCATTTTTTTCCTTCTTGGCTTTTCGTTCCCTCTTTTTTGTGGTATTTAAGTATTATGAGTATATTTTCATTTACCCAGAGAAAAAATGTTCCTTATTTTCATTTTTGGTAAAATTTGAAGAGATCGAAAAAGGATTTCATGTAGTTAACTCTAACTTCGTGAAGGAAGGCAGCCTCTCTCTCAGCAAGAACGACGAGAGGCAGGCAGGCTTTTAACAGAAGATAATCGAGAGTTTGGTTAAAATTGTTAATAAATTTATACATTAAATAGAAGAAGCACTACTTTCATAAAATTTACCAAATGAATTCGAAAGCATCTTTTGAGTTTCAAAAGCACTTTTTGACTTTCTGAAAGTTGTATCAAACGAGTCCTAAAACTGGCTGCATAGAAAGTAATAAAAGCAACCGTAACAATTTTGCTGTATATTTGGTTATGAATGATAAGAGAGAATTTTAGTGTAAATAAAGTGTGAAATTGGATAGGGTGTAGTTTAGTGACAAGAATGCTCATGGGATAATGTTTGGTCCAGTCCTTGCATCCATACTATAGGTTGATTTCTTGAATTTTAAGAGAAGCTTCAATTGGCTCACTAAATTTTAATTGGGTCTCTTTAACTATAATTTAGTTTGAAATTTCACTGCTCGATTTCATGTGGTCACGTTTCATCTCCCAAATTGACAAAAATGTTTACTTTCACATAATTGTTGCATGAGACGCAATGGTAAAATGAGAGTTATGACAATGTTCAAGACTAACTAAAAAGTTAAATTTGTATTTTTTATTTAACACTAGTCAACTGCCTGTGCAATGCGCGGGCTGTGTTATTTTTAAGGTAATATTAACGTATTGAGTTTTGACATACAAGTGGTCCTTGTTTGCCCAATTAAAGAAATTATGTTCCTCGAATGAAAGAAATTATTCCATGTACAATTGATAGTGATCACCCAAATAAATATGAACATAATCGAAACCATTAAAAAAAAAAAAGGCAAAGGTAAAAAGTAACTCTCTAAAAGGAAAATCATGAAATCTATTGAATGTTTATGTGGAAAGACACGAAATTACATATATCACTACTATATAAAAAGAGCAATGTTTCACTACTATAAAAAGAGTAGTAGATTCTTCCATTTTGTCTTACTATTGCCTCTTTTTTTTTTTTTTTTGAAAGAAAGAAACGACGTTGTTTATTTTACGTGTTTGATACAGTGACTTTGTTGCTTTTTCTCAATTTACGCGGCGTGGATGATTTTGTCATAGAGGGTCTTTGTTCCCCCAATGAAAGATATAAAGTTACTCGAATGAAAGAAATTATTCCATGTACAATTGATAGTGATAACCTAAATAAATATGAACATAATCGAAACAATTAAGAAAAAAAAGGTGAAGGTAAAAAGTAACTCCCTAAAAGGAAAATCATGAAATCTATTGAATGTTTATGTGGGAAGACATGAAATTACATATATCACTACTATATAAAAAAGACAATGTTTCACTACTATAGAAAGAACAATAGATTCTTCCATTTTGTCTCACTGTAGCCTTTTTTTTAAGAAGGAAACGACGTCGTTTCTCTTACGTGTTTGATACAGTGATTTTGTTGCTTTTCCTCAATTTACGCGACGTGGACGATTATGTCATAGAGTCCTTTTTACTCTTTCTCAATTTTTACACGCTACAACCATATCTTTCTATTTCTCCACACTATCTTTTTCACCATTTTTTCACGCTATCAACCATGTATCTTTACGAAGTTTATTTTTGAGCACATAAGTAACTTTAAATAAAAACATTATTTTTATATATGTACGTAAAATGAATATAGTAACCATTTGGTTGATCAAAAAATAATATCAATCAAAATGTTTATAAACCGTTTAAATAATAATTTATTGAGGGGGTTAATTCAAAAGTAAAAGTGTGAATTCCATAAATATATTATTGAAAATATGTTTGAAGAAAAATAAATTTTAAAAAATGAAGATCAAATATGTTAATAAATGAATATATTTATTTTTCGAGAAATGAGTTTTTATTACCATTTCATTTTTATCATGAAATGATTCTAATCTTAATATGTTAGATTGTGATTCAAAATTGCATAATCTATCAAATATAATTTTTAAAATTAATTTTTATAAAGTAATATATTTTTATGATTTTTTTTAGTAACGTAATAATGGAGGTTCATATAAAATTAATAAGAATTTAATTATTTTCTATTTTTTAGTACTATTATATTTCACGTTCAAAAAAAAAAAAAAATCATAAAAACATATTACTTTATAAAAATTAATTTTAAAAATTACGTTTGATAGATTATGTAATTTTGAAGCACAATCTAACATATTAGGATTAGAATCATTTTATGATAAAAATGAAATGGTAATAAAAACTCATTTTTTGAAAAATAAATATATTCATTTTTTAACATGTTTGGTTTTCATTTTTTAAAATTTATTTTTCTTCAAGCATATTTTCAATCACATATTTATGGAATTCACGCTTTTGCTCTTGAATTAACCCGCTCAATAAATTATTATTTAAACGGTTCCTAAACTTTTTGATTGATATTATTTTTTGGTCATCTAAGTGGTTACTATATACCTTTTACGTACATATATAAAAATAATGTTTTTATTTAAACTTACTTTTGTGCTAAAAAATAAACTTTTTAAAAATACATGGTTGATAGTGTGAGAAAATGGTGAAAGAGATAGTGTGCAGAAATAGAGAAGTATGGTTGTAGCGTGTAAAAATGGAGAAAGAGTAAGCCTCCATTATTTTATGTATTTATTTTGGAAATATTAAAAAAAATTAAGTTGACTAAATGAAATTAAATTATTGTATTGAAAGCCAATGAAAGAAAAAGATGGTAAAAAAATGCACGTTGGCACACATGAAGCCTCCCTTTACCTCCATAATACGGAGGCTTTATCTCCATGAAGCCTCCCTTTACCTCCATGATACGGAGGCTTTACTCCATAGCCTCCATAATATATATTTTTTATTTTTTTAATATATACTAAAATTATTATTATTATTTTTAATATGGTTGGCACGATGCGTGCGTAAAAGAATATTTGTCAATCACTATAAACAAAATTCTTCACAAAATGTAAAAATAAAAATACATAATAAATCTTCTTATTACACTAATAAAATTGCAATAATTTTTTTTTTACAAATAACATAAAAAATTCATTTTTATTTTTAACAAAAAAACACATTTAAAAATTAGCAATTTCATAACCACTTTTTTTTTTTTGGAAATACAATTATAAAAAAAGAAACAATATTGAATTACAACATTTAATACTTAAGAAATTCAATATTAAATTTTTTTTATACATTTATAACAAATTATAAATCCATATATGTAGCTTACCGTATTTGCAGGCAGTTTACCATATATGCTGCTTATCGTATTTGTAAACAACTTACCGTATTTATACCTTACCGTATTTTGCACGTTACCGTATACGCTGCCTACCAGATTTTTACAGCCTACCGTATTTGCAAATAACTTACGTATATACTGCGTACCGTATTTACAATTTACTGTATATGCTGCTTATCGTATTTGTAACTTGCTGTATTTTTATATACCGATTTTTGTATTTACAAATACTGAGAATGTAGGACACCGTACATTCACTTACCAAACCAAATTTCAAAAAAATTTCCAAATTTTTATTTTTTCAACATAAGCATAAAATAAATATTAAATATATATGAAGCACAAAATATAAATACATATGAATATGATACCGAGAGAAATCAGTATCGTAGTTTTACGTTACAAATAATTTTTTTTCAATTTAAAATTCTTTTTAATTCTTTTCTCTTCAAATTTTTTTACTTACAAGTAACTTTTTGTAAAATATTTTCTGTCTTATACTATCTTTATTTTTTAATTTTTTGGGAGGTATGGAAATTGCATGTTGCGGTGTTTTCTGACAGTCTAAATATTTTTTAATTAAAATTGAAAAAATTAAGTTTTTTCATAAAGAAAAATGAATTAAAAAGTATTTTAAATCGAGATTTTTTTTTATAATATGAACAAAACAAATAAAAAATAAATAAATGAGGAAAAAATTAAAAACGAAAAAGAAATCTCCATGCATCCTGCGATAATGTAATGAACCAAACGATTAGATTTCACCAAATACTTCGAATTTTCAACCAATTTTGAAAAATCTACAATTTTGACGTTAATGAAAATATAATAAATACAAAACTTGTGCAACGCACGTGTCAAAGACTAGTCATAATTAATATTTCAATTCATGGTAAGATCATATAAGTTACAGTATCCAAAGATATTCTCTCACTTATCAAGTGATGCTACAATGAAATTTTTCTTCATCCTAGTTACTCAAAAAATCCTGTATGATTACAAAAATTAGCCAAATATGACTTTTGCAGCTAAGTTTCAACTCACCAGTTGTAACGTGCTAGAGGAACTTATCCTCAAATTCATGGCAAAGCTCCATAGACAAAGCTTTTGTGATTCGTTCACCAAGCCTGACCAATTCATTCTGCACCATTTGGGATTTTCTCTGAAGCCTGCAATAGTTGTAGAAAATATCAAGTAAAAGTTAATTGGGAGTGATATATATCCAATAATATGCATCGAACCTCATAAACCTCATGAATTATTGATACTTGATGAGTAAGAAAAGTAACATTCAATTAAATCAGAAAATGCGAAAGACTGAAATGCAGTAGAAGCAGTAAATAGCATACTCCACTGAGGCAACAATTTCTAGCAAATTAGCCTTCCTATTTTCACCAAACCCAGAGCATTTATAGCACAAATCGACACATATTTCAGATATAACATTAGAAAGATAATTTTCCATGATAAAACTGGTGGGAGTACCTTAATTCTAGCAAGGAGCTTGTTAAGGATAAGAGTTGCAAGTGCATCGCTTTCCACTTCTTCGGCAACTATCACTACACATCTTTGTCTCTGGACAAATATGGCAAAAAAGGATCAATCTTATTCGAATATCAATAACTCATATGGAAGGCTTCGAAAGATTTACCTTTAAAGCTAACTCATGTACTCTCACTACAACATTTAAGTTTGAAATTTTCTTCTCAGGTATAAGAATGAGTGGGTTGTTTACTTCCTGAAGTTGTTAGAGAACTTCTTAATACACCTTTATCCAGTAAGGAGTCCATTTTTCGGTTATAAACATTTTATTGCCAGCAATAGAAGCAGAGAGACTTACACATTTCAGGTTCTTCTGATTTGTCATGAAGAACGGAGAAATATGATCCCTGTCAAACTTCATTCCATCAACTATTTCTAATTTATTTAACATATTTCTATCCTACCACAAAATATGATGTGTGTGTGTTTGTGTTTTTTTTTTTTTAATGCATGATTTCAAGAGTTTTAGTTGTTTTCCATCGTCATTTGAACATAGTTGGATGGTTTTCGTGCCTTGCGAACAAATTTATAATTGATTTTATGTTTCTACCTTTTTTGTAATTAATTTTTCCTGTGTGAATGTCTTCTAGCCGAATAGTTTGTGTTGTTAATGATGTGTTTGAGTTTTTTTTTTTTTTTTTAAGTGATTAAAAATACTGATGCAGTTTAAATTACTTTTTTCTCCTCATAACTTTTTGGTTTCCATGCTTTATCTAAATTAGTTTCTCAATGTAAAGCCATAGTGGTGAACCGAATAAACATTAGCTACTAATATGACATGAGAACACCATTTCTTTTGATAATTTATTTGGGACAAATTACTCGCTCGTCCTATTTTTGTATTTTCATAGCTATATGATGCCCTTCCAATGTACATATTCAAAATCTACACAGCATAAAATACAATGGTACTATTCAAGGCTTGAAATATTTTTGGAAAAGGCCATGAATCTGAATTTGAAGTATCAAAACTTGCTGCAGACTCCATAATTTTACCTTTTGCAGATGCAAAACTATTCTTTTCATAGAAGAGAACACAAGGATATTGAAGAGTGACAGACGCAAAAAGCATACAAACCAGATTGTAACATTTTAACTGACAAGTACTTGTAATACATAAGTAGCGTAAAAAATTTAATAGAATAATTTAACATATAAATAAAATGAACAAAACAAATTCCCAAGAATTAGAAGAAAAATTTACTTGCCACATCGACAAATACATCAGGTTTCAGTTTATGCACGCGATGGAATCGATACGCAAAGACAACCCCAAGTAACAGGGGAGAAAATGCACATATGCTTGCTACACTAATGGTAACTTCAAATTTTGCGTTTTTAGTAGAAACTGCATTGATATCTGGAGTCAACCAGTCAGTTGCTGTTATTTTCACAAGAAGAATAATATTTAAATAAAACTGAGAATTCCACTGCAAAATAAATAAAACCTTGGGTGGAGGGATTTGGAACACAAGGTTGCTTATTGTCCTTAAAGGATCGAATTATTTTTAAAACAATGCATAGAGCATAAGTCAATATCTCAAGAATGAAAATCTAAGAAACACAATGTGTTAACTATTGAACTAAAAATAAAGGTTCTTTTTTTCCCAGAAAGGTATGCAAGGTATTTAACATCAAGCAAATTCATACCACGTGACTTTAGAATTTCGAAGCATTCTTTAGCGGAATTCCCTCCCATGCTGACATCATGATGATTGTCTTTAGACCTGCATGTTGAACAATGAAATACTATTGAGATAATATATAATGATAAAAACATATCACTCATTATGAAACTGCAAGTGTTATACAAGCATTTCTTGCATTTCCTTGTGTGTTATGCCTTTAACTTAAGATTTTACAACAAATTTAAGAACTGAATAATTTCTAAAGTAACAGAATTAAATTCCAACAGTATAGTTCTTACAAAATTATCTTAGAAGCTAGAATTCACCATGATCTTGAAGCTTTCTTTGAATAAAATTAATACAATGGCTCGTTTATGTGAACCTGAAACGAAAGACAATAATCAATTAAAACAATTAATGAAAATGATGATAAATTCATGAGGACAAAAAATTGATAACCAGAACTCATAGAAACGTTAAAGAAATGGTTACATGAAGTACAACAAACATATACCTAAGTAAAAATTAGAGAAATGAGACAGAGAAATGGAAAAATATAGAAAGAGAAGGAGAAATTCTTAACTGAATAACAGATTTCCCTCTCTACTGAGAAAGAGTAAACATCCCCATGACGACCAGCGAAAAAGATTGAAGAGAAAATTAATTCGATTTCAGAGCACAATGAAAGCATCAGAAGAAATGAAACATTGCGCAATATATTTAAGACAAACAAATTGATATTTAAAAAATAAAATTAAAAGAAATACACCTTTGCCATCTCCAGCAGTCTAGTGGAAAAGTTCGCAAAGTATAATTAACCAATAGAAAGGATGAACTGCAAATACAAACAATAAATCATGATTTCATCAAATCATAATTACACAAAATATAATTCAGTTCCCAGTTTTTTGGGGAATAGGAATTCATGAAATAATAAAAATTTAAAAAAGAATTACATAAGATGGAGCACACATTGATTTATTTCACGAAATAATAAGAATTTATGGTAGAGGTACCAAGCTATACTAATCAAATTTGTTGGAAAAGATAAAAGATATATAAAAAAAGGAATTGGTTTGACACTATACTTTGCAATAGAAACTACAGTCTATGCCAATATCAGAAGTCAACTATCTATGTCTACAATTTCAATATTGTATTTACAGTTAACTGAAAATTCAAAAACTGTAGTCTTAATCAAAGGTCCAAATCTTGTTCCAGAAACTACCCTCTTTTTGTGACTTGTACATACTGGCAATTCACAAGAGAGCAATTCAACATCCATGGTCCACTATCTAAGGTAAAAAAGAAAAATTTACCAAATTCTTCTAGATGAAGAATATGAAACGAGCAAAAGTAAGTTGAATATAATTACCTTAGCTATCCCAATACCGAATGTGAGAAAACTGGATAAAACATGGAAAAAAGCTAGAAAAAATATCAACAATTGGAGTTGTTTGAAGCCAACTTTCGAAATCGAAGATAACTTATCCTGTTCCACAATTTCAAAAATCTATAAGATGCTACTAAAATCTAGAATTGACAAGTTAATTAATTAATTCATCAACCCTAATTTACGTTCCAAGAACTCTTCCATGCTACATAAGTACCTGTTCTTCACATTCGGATTCCTCTTCTTCCTCACTCATCAAGCTATGGCAAGGAAGAAAAGAATGAGAAACACCATTGGGAATACATATATTTGCACTTGGATTTTCACATACGGTCAGCAATAAGGAGATGAAGCCCAAAAGCTATAAGTCTACATGATTGGGAAATTCAAGGATAATAAGCAATGTGACTTTTTTAGCATTACCAAGAAAATTAACCAATTATAAATTCAATGGCAGGAAAATGCAGGATTCCTCATAGGACTACTCAAATCATGTCTGTGCTCTAATGTAAACTAAATGAAAAGGAAGTTAAAAAAAAAAGAACTCAGAAAATCAAAGCAATCACTCGAAACGACCCCAAAAAATAAAAAAAGTTAAATCCTACCAAATCGATTAATGCAAAAAACACACACTCGAGAAACTCTAGAAAATCGAAGCAAACACCCAAAACGAAACTTAACAAATGTATAAGCCCTACGAAATCAGAAAACCACCCAAATTTATCCCCTTGTTTCAACTGAACTAATCTAAAATCCTCATTTGGAAGCTCAATACTGAAAAGAAAAGAAAAAAAGAGAGAGAAGATATGGACTGGATTCAGGAGATTATACCTTTCTTCTTCTTCTCAGTGTTTGGTTTCTCGTTGTGGAGAGACGAACTCGTCAAAAAGCGGACGTGTGAAATGAGGGGGCAGAGAGAGAGCCACTGTTATATGAGAGATATTTTGTGAATAGTAACTATTGCTAAACCAGTTGGAAAAAGTCAAGTGTGAAAACGTGAAATTTCCCCGTGCACGGAACATTTGTGAACCACTTTATGTGGGGGTTTATTGTTCATTTTTGTCACATTGATTTTCACATTGGACTGTTTTCAAACTAGTTTTACAACAGTACTCTATATTATTCCATTCAAGCACGCTAGAGCAATTTTTTCATACCATTACTTTCAATCTAACACACAATACTCTTTCTCCATTTTCTCATGCTATCAACTATAAACCATATCCTATATATTTAAATTTTTAAAATTATATTAATAAAAAGTTATTGTAAATAAAATGTAAAAAAGAAAAAGAAAAAAATATATTAACTCCGTGCATGAAGAAAAAAAATTACATCTTAATTTTTTAATGATGTATTGAGAAAATTGTCTCGAAAACATAATAAATATTAATAAAATAATTGATTTTTTAAGAAAAAAGACGACTTATATGCATTTTTAACACATATGTACGTTTAACTATTTTCGATATTCATTTAGATTATTCGATGTGTCTATGATATAGTTCTCGAAATGAGTTTTGAGAGAAAATAGAAGATTTATCGATTCGACTACCGTACAATCGTTGATGAATTTTTAAAGTTAGCTTATTATCGAAAATCTCGAAATAATAGTAAAATGTCTATTTTGACGTCCCATAACATTTGCTACAATTAGCCGTTGCACGCACCGTTAACGACGTGCAATACTATGCTGTGAGTACTTCAAAATGATATTAAGAATGTAATATTTTGACTTCGTTTGATATCCCGTAATGAGCCTGAAAATGAATGTAAGTTTTAAAAAATTAATAAAATAATCGATTTTTTTTAAAGAAAAAGACGACTTATACGAATTTTTTAACACATACGTTTAATGTACGTTTAACTATTTTCGATATTCATTTAGATCATTCGATGTGTCTATGATATAGTTCTCGAAATGAGTTTCGAGAGAATATAGAAGATTTATTGACTCGACTACCGTACAATCGTCCATGAATTTTAAAAGTTAGCTTGTTATCGAAAATTTCGAGATAGTAGTTTGAAAATGCTTATTTTGACGTCCTGTAACATTTTCTATAATTAGTCGTTTCATGCACCGTTAACGACTTGCAATACTATGCCGTGAGTACTTTAAAATGATTTAAAGAATGTAATATTTCGATTTCGTTTGATATCTCATAATGAGCCTGAAAATGAACAAAAAACATAAGTTTTAAAAAATTAATAATGTAATTGATTTTCTTAAGAAAAAAGACGACTTCTACGCATTTTTTAACACATACGTTTAATGTACGTTTAACTTTTTCGATATTCATTTAGAGCATTCGACGTGTCTATGATATAGTTCTCGAAATAAGCTTCGAGAGAATATAGAAGATTTATCGATTGGATTACTGTACAATCGTTGATGAATTTTTAAAATTAATTTGTTATCGAAAATTTCGAAATACAGTTCGAAAATGCCTATTTTGATGTCCCGTAACATTTGCTACGATTAGTCTTTTCACGCACCGTTAACGACGTGTAATACTATGTCATGAGTATTTCAAAATGATATTAAGAATATAATATTTCGACTTCACTTAATATCCTGTAACGAACTTGAAAATGAACACAAAAATATAAGTTAAAAACAAAAAAACTTACATTCAGCAAACCTCCGTGCAGGGAGTTGTGAAACCTCCGTGCACGGAGCTTGCACGTATTTTTTTTTTACTTTTATTTGTAGTACATTTTTTATTAATATTTAATTTAAAATATTAAATATATCTAAATATTTACTTAAAAATGTTGAAGTTAATATTTTTTACTTATAAATAACTTTTACAATTATAATAATTTTATTACTTTTAAATAACTTGTAGTGATTTTTTTACTTATAAGTAACTTTTTACATTCTAGATAATTTAATCTTTTTATTAATATTTAATTTTAAAAGCTAAATATATCTAAATATTTATACTTAAAAAATTTTAAGTTAACATTTTTTTTTTATATAAGTAGCTTTTGCAATTATAAGAGAATGAGGGATTAATTTTTTTTTTTACCTATAAGTAGCTTTTACAATTATAAGTTTTTTTATTTTAAATAACTTGAAGTGATTTTTTTTACTTATAAGTAATTTTTTATATTTTAGATAGTGTAATCTCTTCTTTTACTTTTAAATAACACCTCCCTGCACAGAGATGTAGACCTTTGTGCACGGAGGTTTGCTAAATTTAAGGTTTTTTTTTTTTTTTTTTTTGTGTTCATTTTCAGGGTAGTTACGAGATATCAAACGGAGTCGAAATATTACATTCTTAAATATAATTTTGAAGTACTCGCGGCATAGTATTGCACGTCGTTAACGGTGCATGAAACGGCTAATCGTAGCAAATGTTACGGGATGTCAAAATAGGCATTTTTAAACTATATTTCGAAATTTTCGATAACAAGCTAACTTTAAAAATTCATCTATGATTACACGAGAGTCGAGTCGATAAATGTTTTATATTCTCTTGAAACTCATTTCGAGAACTATATCGTAGGCACATCGAATGATCTAAATGAAAATCGAAAATAGTTAAACACACATTAAACTATGTGTTAAAAAAGCGTAGAAGTCGTTTTTTTAAATTAAAAAAATCAATTATTTTATTAAAATTTATTATTTTTTCTTGACAATTTTCTGACTACATCATTTTTCTAAAAAAATTTTATATGGTATGACATACATTTTTTTCTCTATGCCTGTAGTGAAATGTTTTTTTTTTTTACAATAATTTTTTTATCAATATAATTTTAAAAATTTAAATATATAGGATATGGTTGATAGTTAATAGCGTGAGAATTAGAAAAAAGAGCATGGTGTGTTAGATTCAAAGTAAGGGAGAAATATTGCAGTGGACGTTGCACTCAAATGGCGTTTGACAAAATTCCTACTGTGTTTTTGAATAGAATTTTTCCTGTTGCCAAATCAGTTCTCAAACCGGTTAAGTGTGAAAACGAGTGTGACAAAAATGAATAGTAAACCCTCATTCTCTCTTTTATGGTAGTGTAGATTTACGATGTGATGTAGTGGCAAGTTGATATGTGACATCATGATGAATAGTAAACCCTCATTCTCTCTTTTATGGTAGTGTAGATTTACGATGTGACGTAGTGGCAAGTTGATATGTGACATCATGATTATTTGGAAGATATATTTTTTTCTCAATTTGGTATGCAACAGGTAACGGAGTCGTGAAATTTGAAACTAAATGAAAGTTCTATGACTCATTTTGAAATGAAATTTAAAGTTGAGTAACCCAATTGAAATAAATCAAAATTTGATAACCAATTGAGATATCATTTAAAGTTCAGCGACTGAAGAGAAATTTATCCCATTCAAACATATGGTTTAGTTTCGATTTTTGTCACTTAAAACTTTTGTGAAATCTGAATTCAGTCTACCTACTTAGCCCCTATTTGACAAACATTATTTCATATAGAATAATCATTTTCAAACACATTTACTCAATAAAATATTTTGCAGACCTTCATCGACGTTATTTTTCGATCAGAAGATCGAGAGCTAACTGTCGAGACTTTGATCTATTTGGCACAAACATAAGTTTTTTTCCATACTTTTTAATCACATTCTCAAAAAATTCACTATTCAAAATTTTATTTTGCCAAATAATGGCCATCAAACATGCGCTTAATAAGTGGGAATTGAATTACTGATTTGTTTATCACTCCATTACATTTCAATTCCCGTTAGCCGGTTTCTAGGTAAATATTCACATCATTATATACAGCTACAAAACTTTGAATAATAGACCCTAAAATTATCTCATGCCAAAATTTCTCTTTTCATACGTTTCTTCTTTCTTTTATTGCATAACCTAATGGGTAATTAATATTTAAATCTAAATAATTTTATAAATACTTTACATACAAAATTTTATAGTTTTAATATAACCCAATAGGAAAAAATATATTTTTAGTTCAACTTTTGTAAGAACTCAAATTCTTGTTATTTTCAAAAATCAGTATCTTCTCTCTGAAAATTATTGAAGATAATTAAATTATAAATACTACTTGTTGACTTCAAAAAATGAGCAAATAGAATCCTAACTACCTTCCTTCCACATAGACATTACCTATACATTGGTACACTCTGTTAGGAAACAAATGCCACTTGTCAAGAAAAAGGTCCGACGACCATTTGTACTTCGATAGTGAAGTCAACAACAGGACGAGATATAATATGAATGCAAGGATGGAATAAGGGGATTTGGCTGGGGTTTGAGTTTTTATCATACCATAGTTGTTAATAGATTCACATATATAGAGGCAAATGGGCCAAGTGAGCTAGTGAGTTAGACCCAAGTCTAGGCCCAAAATAGATTGCTTGCTTAAATATGTACAATCCAATTAAATAATTGATGCCAAGTCAACATATTTGACTCTCTCCGCCTAAGCATGTCACATAATTTATAGATGTAACACTACATATATTGTTGTACTAATGTTCTCAAGAATTAATGTCTGATCTAGATTTTACAGTTTATATTGTGTTTAATAGTTACCCTTTTTTAATGTCCTTATTACTTGATCTTGAGTCTTGAAGTGCATTTCTATTTGTTGCCTTATATTATTAGATTATAAGAATGATAACAATTCTATTTTTATATATTTTTAATCTAACAAGTAGTTTATACTTGGTTTTTATAAATTTTCAATATAAAGAATCGGAATGGAGCCAATTAGTTCGGTTCAATTCGATTCTATAGAAAAAAACTTGACCACGTACACTTCTAAAAAAATGTTCGCATCATTGTTTGTTTTTAGATGTTAAATGTTAAGTTCATTGACGTGATTGAGACAAATTCATGAAATTAGCCCCAAAAAATTACCACCTCTTTTTTGTTGACTCCTTGTGACATGCAAATTTTAGAAGTTATTCGAAAATATTATT